GACTTAAAACTGTTTCAAGGTGGATTTAAAAACAAACAAGCCAATGACTGAGTAAGACAGCTTTCTAAAATACGTACAGAGTTTGCCCATATCTGTATTACACAATGCTGGAGAGTGACAGGGCAGTGAGTCAGGGTAGCACCTCCTAAAGCCCCCTAGAGTGAAATATGGCCCAGATTTAAAAGAGGGGTTTCAAATTCACCCTTCATTGTCAATTTCAGATAAGAAGGCGTAAGTGTATTTGCTGGTGCTGGTTCCAATGTGGCTTGTTAGACACCAGAAGGTGCTGATTTTTGGGGTAGGTGGCGGTGGGCAACAACCCCCATGCTCTAGTCCATTAAAGTGGTCTGAAATGGATCTTGAGCGTAAGGGATGCATCCCAGAAGCCAGATCGCCCCAGTATCACCATCACCTCCAGCTAGAGATAAGCAGAGATGTGACAGAGCTCTAGCAGTAAGTGTTTTATACAGTCCAGGTCCATCATTTTCTGACTCTCACAGTCTCTCAGCACCACCATTGCTGCTGTTTAGAAAAAGATCAAGACCCCCCTTGGAATGGCTAAATGGGAAATGTCAGAAAACTGGTAAACATTTGCAGTAATCTGTTAAAATGATAGCAGGGAGTATCATCTTGAGGGATTATCCTGTTCTTGGCTCTAAAGCCATGGCAATTTAGCGGCTTCGCCATGATAATGTACAGAAGTACGTTTGTTGGGGATCTCTGCTGATGGATTCTGTGGCTTTTTGCCTGTGATGCTTTCCATGAAAATGAGCACATGCAGTGTGGTTCATTCAGTAACCTAAACACTTGTCCCTCTGCATGATGAACAGTCACAGTCGCACTTAAAATCTGCATCCTGCTTTGTGTTGTACAGCTTGTCATTTATGTTCTAGACAGCCTAAAGCAGCTTGTTTAGGGATTAACAGCCAATTGTACCTCATAAACAGTTTAAACGGACCAGTCTGTACATGCAGTACGCTGCATTGTGAGTGTGCAGTTAAGGTACTAATGGTAGCATCATTCGGCAGTTCACATGAAGTCAGACTGTGCCAAACACACCACCTTAAAACCTTTATGCTTCTGTGCAAAGTAGCACTTAGGGAAACATAAACTTGTGTTTATGTGACTTTCACTTAGCAAACTGATTTTGTGAAACCAGAGGCTAAATTTAACAGTGTCTGAAAACAGAGCCTGGTATTAATGCACCCTCTGGAATGTCTCTAAAAAGCAAATTTATTTTTATTTTGATGAAAGGGGAGTTTCATATAAATTCCTTTCTCTTTTTAAAGTGTGAAATGTTCACACTGAGATGGAAATTGACAAAGGTTTCCAGCTAGAAGTTTTTAAGTGAGACAAACCTTCGAAAGAAGAAAAAACACGTTCTTTCGTTACCAAATGAAAAGTTAAATTTAGAAGTAATAAAACACCCTATTCCTCTCTTCAATACACTCAACTATAGCCTTATTTGGTCTGGTATGAGCAGTGGCCTATAGTGGCTAATGTTAGTAAACCTAAATCTAGGTAAATGACTCTTCTTCACTTGTGGCCACAGTGACTGCTGTTTAGCAACAGTTACATAGATGCAGTTTAAAGATTATGTTATTATGTTATGTTATTAAGTCTGAAACCTTGTTTTGTGTTAACTACATATTGTTTAAATCTTATGATATCCCCATACTTAGATATACTTACTGTACGGTTAAAGGTGACCCCCACTTTTTTTTTTATAGTTTAACCTTAAATTGGAAGGCTCCACATAGAAGTTTACCAAACCATAAAGCTTTTAAGCCAAGTATACTGGTCTGAAACCTGGTTCTGATCTAATTCTTATTTGAGAAACACAAAATCCTATGGTCCTGTCATCTCATTGGCATTTTGACTCGATCTCTTGGTGAAAATACAAAGCAAATGTGTTGAAATAAATTGGTTCCAGTTTCAGGTCAACTAAAAATAGAAGAAATCAGTCACTGGCATAAAAACCTCATGTCTTAACAGAAAATAAAGCACCACAACCTTTGCATTCTCATTATGCACTCATATTTATTTCGCCATTCCAATCCCATTACCAAACGACAAAAATTTGCATTTCATTTCTGGCAATGAAAAAGAGTATTTTCTGACAATAGTTAAAACTGGATGTCACTGACTGGAAAAGCACAGCGTTTAACTGGAGTCAAGGTTAGAAACCATTCAAATAACCCAACACCCACGTAGATCTATTTTACGGCTTCCCGAGTAGTGATTTTACATGATTGGCTGTGTTTGTGTAATCTTGTTCCTCCTTGGTACTTTCCATTTATGACCCCCACTAGATATGCCATGAATCAGCTACATTCCCTAGGAGACAAATCATGAAGGGATCACTGGGCTTAAGTTTCCATCAGCTATCTATCTGCCCCTTCAATGCCTTTTCTTTCAAGGTGACTTACACTGTGCAAAGCCTATCGCCGTCCTCAAAAGGTGGGCACAGTAATCTCAGCGGATGAGTAAACAGCAGTGAAAAGCTCCTGTTGTAAGATGTACAAAGCAGTGAGATTTAGATTGAATTTATCAGGATGTAAAAACAATCTACAGCATCCACAGTTCAGAGATTTTACATTTCTAGATTCACTGAAAACTATTTCCAAACACAGTCATATTCTATGGTTCATTATCAGGCAGAGTAATCCATCATTACTTGAGCTTTGTGGATTCCAAACTCACTATTTTCTTTCCAATTCCTCGGGCCAGACCATTGGAGGTTATGTGGAAAGTGACACTTATATCAGCCTTATGTAGTTCACAGTTAGGGGAAGCTGTATTATGCCTGAAATCCATCCCAAAAAAATGTTACATTTCCCTTTAATATCATTGCCAAGAAAGGATATTACATTGAAAAGCTAATTCGACTTGGCAGACCTGTGCAAATGGCTGACAAACTGGCAGTTTCTGTTGAAGAGCAAGACTGTTTCATTATCTATCAGCCTGGGATTGATTGAAATGTTGCAATTCATCTATTCTTTATAAAAGCAGGAAACATTATATTCTTTTTCTGCAAATAGAAAAATATAGTATAAATAAATGCAGTATAAATATTAACAAGACTTTATTGTGCCAACAGATACATATAGATAGATTTTTCTGTTAATATTAGAAACCTTATAGTCGCCCACATGGGCCAAAACCTATATATGTCCTTCTTTCTGCTGTGGCATTTTGTCAATCTATTAAGTCACTGATCTAATCATTAGATCAATATTAAATTGGAGGCACTCCAACAAACAGTTGTCAGGATCCGACCATAACGGAAAGCCCTGAAAAACTGGAGATCTTACCAACCCTTTACTGACTTTAAAAATTCACCCCGAAGTATTGCAAGCATAAATGGCAAGCTAGTCTTATGGCTAGTGGGAATTACTTTGTCTGATTTGTAGTATCTGCTCAGGCATGCAGCCTTCCGTATGCGAGTCAATAAAATGTGTTAATGTCTGTTTGACTGGACTGTTAGTGGGGGTAAATCACCGGGAATCAGAACATGCTAATGGCAGCATTACCCACTGAGGGATGGAAAGATGAATTGAGATTTATGCTGTCACAAGCTGCTTTCTGTAGAAGTATATTATAACTCACAGCAAAGGATTTCCCCCCACAGACTAGTTTCTCAGTATATGAGCAGTTTAATTCAGCCTACAGCTACAGTACAGGGTGGGAACTGTTGCTAAGGACACTGATTTGTCTTGGCTGATATGTCCCTGAAAAATGGCTGTTACAGACCATTGGTGAGCCAAACCAAAACTCACAACATCTTTTAAAGATCAAGTGAATAAGAATTTCCCCACTGGCCGATTATTGAATCATCTCAGTGTGTGTTCAGACTGAGAGTAACTGAATGAACAACTGGACACTTAAAATCCAATTAAGTCAGATTTAATTAGTTAATCTAATATACAATGATGCAAAAGACTGTACAAATAAGACACAAGGAAACAAAGTACGAGAAAATAAGCAAGACTAAGTAGGGTTAGCTAAACCTATCTGCCTGAGTCAGTAAAGGAAAGGAGAAAAACTAAAGTAACCTTTCATTGGGAAGAACATAAAATAAAGAATCAAAGCACAATGCACAGATGGTCCATATAGTTAATCTATAAGAAACATCTTATCCCACATACATTTCTATCTCCCTCTTGTCATTTGTTTGTATCTGGAGATGAGGATGAAAGAGTTTTTTCCAGTCAAGCTTCAGTGAATATCTGTTCATCTCTGCCTATTCCCAAGCTAACCACCTACATCTGGCTGTGCCTGTTTTGGCTAAACCAATTTTTCACTTGAGTGCCACTCAAATGATGGAAAAAATAAGTTGCATGTCTTCACATCTACATAAAAAACCCATTGCAGTGTATGACCAAAGGAATGTTAATCAAAAATCTAGTTAAAGCATCTTATATCTTGATTAAGGTACATTATATAGTATCCATTAAACCTGTTTTACCATGGGGAAGAAACAGTGCATGCAAGATTCAATTATATCAGAGTAACCAGCTCATTTATTTCTTAGAGTTGAAAGCTGCCTAATGTCAGCTGTAAAAAAATGTTTTCTTTTTACCATTTTCTGTACTGTGATCACAGGCAAAGAGCTGAACATCAGTTTAATTTAGTTCCAGATTTACCAGACCAGCGGGACCAGTTATATCAGCAGCCTATGTGCATCACATCCTAATATGGCATTGAGTTTCATGTCTTGACATCAATCTAAAGGCAAACTGAGAAACTATGTTTCAAATGATTTATGATATTCTGTTTTTCAAAACACTTCTACATTCATATATGAAAAGAGCAAATGTACAAGTATATCGTAGAATGTGCTGTTTTCTGTATGTTTTTGATTAAACATGCAATATGCAGACTGGAAAATACAGTAATATCACTCAGTGACAACTACACTATCTGGCGATTCTGTACATTTGTAAATCACTTTTTCCTTGTGAATCTTATCTGTTTCTGCCACCTTGTTTTTGGTGCAGATTGAGAACTACATCAAAGAGAGCATGAAGACGGAGATGGCTCAACTGCAGCAGAGCGCCGTCCACAACCACACAGCAGCCATGTTGGAAATGGGCACCAATCTTCTTTCTCAGACGGCTGAACAGACACGCAAGCTTACTGACGTTGAGACACAGGTAACACCTAAAATACACATAAAACACTTGTGTCCCAGTCAATTCTCTCTCTACGTCTTTCTCATGCATACACCCACTAACACACAAAGGTTACAGAGATCTGGCCAAAGACAATACTGATGCTATTTAATGCCTGTCCCTTCTTTGAGTTCTTTGGCTCAGCTTCATTTGAGTGTTTATATGTAGAAGTTTGAGGAGGAGGTGATGGAAAGTTGTGATGTTAGTGGTGGGCAATTTTTGCTAAAACACTAAAAAAGATAACTGTTTGCAAAGTAAAAAAAATAATAATCATAGCACAGATGGATATCTCCTAAGTATTGCCATGTGTTGGGTGAACACTTGACAAAATAAAAACAATGCTGATCGTTTATATGTGCCGCAAATGTGCAGTGTGTTAAATACAGCCCTGTGTTTTTTGTCTCTTCAGGGTTTAGTGTACATGTGCATGATATCAGCTTACTAGTAAAGAGGCATAATATTATCTTTATTATTTTTTGTATTCTGTACGTCTGTATGTATTTTTTTTATCATGGCAGGTTCTGAATCAGACATCCAGGCTCGAGATCCAGCTGCTGGAAAATTCCCTTTCCACTAACAAGTTGGAGAAAGACTTAATGGTCCAGACCAATGAGATCAGCAAGCTGCATGACAAGAACAGGTAAACAGACAAGACTTCAAGCAAACAACATAAAACACACCGGATACCAACCATACTGCAGAAAATTGGACAACGATAGACTGAAGGAAATAAAGATGTTCCACTGTGCAAAAAACAGTTTTCACTCTAAGTACTGCTGTTCTCTGTGGGATTGCGTAAACAAAATCAAAAGCTTGCTACCAGCTCTCACTGACCATTTTCCAAAGCAATATTCAATTGTATATACAACAGCATAATAAGAAGCTCACATTGTCTGTGATATCCAGTAAATCAGTCTGAAATGCATGAGGCTATGCTTTCCACGTTGGACCACTGAGCATTTGTTACAAAATCAGGCAATTAAAATGTGGCTTTTGGATACATTTTCATGTCTCCAAATCTTGTTCTTTATAGTGATTGGTCCTGTGGGATTGTCTCTGATGATGTAGTGTTTAAAAGGGTTTGGTCCACATCTCTTATTGCAGTATCCATAGAGACTCCATGCAATCACTTTGAAAAAAAATTTACATGCATAGTCTCTGGTGATTCTGACTTTTAAGTTATTGTTGAGGCTTACGGAGATAGATTTCTGGGGGCAATTTCCCTAAGCTTCAGCAATTTTGACATTATTCCATCTTGTACGTGTCGTCTTTTATTTTTCCTTTACTAAATCTATAATCGAGGGAAACATGATTAGTTAATGAATTTGATGTCAGCTTATATCATCTTTCAGGCATTGGATTTCACAGTGGTAATGTTTATATACTGAAAGGGCTTATTCATTTACCACAGATGAGTCTGCAGTGTGTGAGATGAAGCTATGTGGAGAACACATAGCAACCAAACTAGAGACGTCATTATTTGTATTTCTGTCTAATGGGAACTTCTTGTATGTGTGTTCCCATATTGCTCACTGGGAAATAGTAGTGAGGGGAGCATATTACCATATTTGTGGTCCTTCATTGGCCATAACAAATCATTTTTATTAATTTAGATTTAATCTGACCCCTATTCATGAAGCCTTCATAAAAAAATGAAAAAGATACACATTACATAACTGAAAAATTGTTGGTAACATCATAACAACAATTTCAAAACAATATTCAATCCATTTAAATCTTTGAAAACAAAACTCATTCCAGTGGATTTGGATGCCCCGAAGGATGATAATAATTAACAACTTCTCCATCTTCCATAACAAACTTTTCTTGACCTTTTTCCTTCTCCTTAGCCTCCTCGAGCAGAAGATGTTAGAAATGGAGATGCGACACCGTGAAGAGCTGGAGACGCTGAAGCAGGAGAAGGGAAGTCTCCAGGTCCTGGTGGGGAGCCAGAGCGGGGTTATCAGGGAGCTAGAAGCCCAGCTGAGCCGGGCCACAGGAAACAGCACGGCCCTGCAGAGACAGCAGCAGGAGATGATGGATACTGTCCATAACCTGCTCAACCTCTGCTCCAAAGATGGCGGTAAGCTCACTGGAATCAAAGTCTTACATACTGAGAGGTTTGGAATTGTTTCAATAAGTGTAAATATGGTCTTACACAATAGCCATCACGTAAGAGTACATTCTGGCAGTATAATGCTGAGGACGGAAAAGAAAGTCACAACCTATTAGAAGTGTAAGCAAATGTTAAAGCAAGTCTGATCGCCTAAGAAAGCCAGTGAGAATTGATTGAGCCCAGCAGCTCAAAGCTGGACCAATCAGTGAAATACCAGGAACAGTTTAGATGATGACAACAACAAACAGGGCTATGTTTTGAAGTTGAACAAAGTGCCAAGTAATCACGAACACAAGGACACAGAGCATGATTTACCAACAGCAAGGCCCTAGGTGTTGGTATTCATTAAAGTGTAATTTGTGTAAAATGGTAGCGTTGGTCAGTCTGACTGTGTGTCTGTTGGTCCAACAGCTATTGTATGGATTGCCATGAAATTATGTACAGATATCCATGGTCCTCAGAGGATAAAGCCTCCAGACTTTTCCTCTACTTTACAACCAAATCCCATCAGCATCAGCTGTACTTTGTAAAGCTGTGTAAAGTGATAATTAGGAAATGCTAGCATTCTAACAGACTTTGAAGGTAAACATTTACTTGCTACAAATTAGTCAAAGTACAACCTCACAGAGCCACTAGCATGGCTGTAGACATTTAGTCTTGATTCACTTTGAAACCCTGAAACTAAATCAAGACCATCCACTGGCCTGGTCCAACCAGGCAAAGACAGATTTATGTTTATGTTTCAGTGAAGAAGAAACACTTGTCAGTCATCTGTTGGTCGGTTATAGACCGGTCCAAATGTTGTCCAGCTCCACTAGTGATGACCCTAACCCAAGAAAATGCCTACTGACCCTTGCCAAACCACAATCTGCAAAAGAAAGTTTGTGGATTGGCTGTGCAACACTTGAACTGTGAGGCAGCACTCAACTTGTTTTGGATTACTTACTTCCTCTGGTCAGATCTCACAGCTACAACATTTTATGATCCACATGAAATTATGATGACACCAGTTCTATAAACCATACCCCATACTGAGAGACACAGGGATGTACTGGCTATAAATCAGTGAGAGCAGCATGAAGAAAGAAACATGGTTCTTATTGTAACTCGGTGTGCTCCTGTTAAAGAGACTTGGTGCCTCTCATAAACCAGCATGGTGCTCTTTTTTATCGCTTTTCACGCTTTAACTTTAGAAAATCTGTGCATACTGCTTCACTAAAACGTCAAACATGACTCTAGTTATGAAGTAATAGGCTTATGTTATTCCCCCGAGTCTCTCCCTTCTGTTAATATGAGAACAGGGTTTTCCCTTTTGGCCCTGTGTTTGACCCAGCAGCAATGCAACCTTTCTTGTACGGTCAAATGCAGTGAACTCATTTACCCCTTTCTCGTCCATTTAAACACCAAACCCACTTGATCCTAACACTGGCCTTAAATCCCATTGGTCACAGGAGATTTGACATGAATGTCTGTGTCAGGGGATTGGTTGCAACCTCACTTCCATTTGTGGATTTCCTGCGGAGACGCCTCACAGTGCTTCCTTGAGGTTTCCCATCAGGCAGGAAACAACAAGGGTATAAAGGGATGTAGGAGTGGATAACTACTTCACATGATTAACATATGCTTTGTATTTATCGTGCTGTTCCATTTTGTAATTTTAATGTTCCATGCAACAAAGGTCACAGGCCGCCTCTGGTCGCTCTGCATCTGTTTAGTCTGTATTTGTGTATGTTACATTTAATTACTAGAGGTCTTCTAAGACCATTTTGGCCTGACTGGTCAATATGTATCATCTTTGCATTTTTCATGTTGAGATTCAAGTGTGTCCTGATGCAATAGTTTTGGCTCTCTGTTTCACTGCCTTTGTAATCTGCCAAGTTTAACTAAATTATCTGTATATTATACTTTTCTGGTCTTTATTTTGCCACCAAGTCTGCTATTTTCAGTGTCAGTAGGGTCAATAGAGCAGGGTACCCCAGCCCGTTCCCCTTTCTGTGATTGGTGGCTGCCTTAATAAGAGGTGATAGAAATGGAACGTGGCCGCTGCTGCTCTGTGGTTGGTCCTTTCCTCTTCCATGGTGGTGTTGAAGGTTGAGGCGAGCATGCGGGTCAGAGGTCAGAACCCTAATTTCACCCCAGCCCAAATAAGTAAAACTATAATAGCTCCTGCGGGAAGCCCCGTCCAAAGGATGTGAAGGAGTAGGTAAATCTCACTGATCATCTGACGCACTGCCCCTGTTTTTCAACCACATTTAAAACACAGAAGCAGCAGAGCTCATGTTCAGGGGAGGGCTTTTGTTTGTTTGAGAAACGGATTAGTGCTTTCATTTGAGAAAAGGGTTAGCATTTCATGCCATGGAATGGCATCTGCTTGCATTAGGCCCTGTTTTGAAAACTGAGCATTTCCTTTAAAGAATTCACTCAAATCAACTTTGGGGAAGATGACAGATAGAAAAGGGAGTTTTAAAGCTATATCTCTATTAATGTACACTTTTCCTATTTGTCCATGTATTGCTTTTCCTAAAATTATGGTTTCCAGTTTGTTTTCAACCAATGCAGCACACTAGCTGAGGGTTAAGGAGATATTTTTGATGTGGCCAGATGCAGCAGTGGAGCTCTTGTTTGGGTTGTAATCATTATCCAAACCTCATTAGGGTGCAATGAGCCACACACTGTTATTAACAGTAATTGATCTCAGCTTTAGAACACTCTGTAAAAAATTCTGGCTGCTAAATATGATTTTGTTTTACAGTGTTCTATTATCCCACTGAATGAATGACATACATCACTTTTACAGCTGCTTACTCAGAGTCGAAGAGAGTGGAATTATTTTAAGGTTGCATGCAAAGCATAAAAAAAATGGCATTTGCAGCTTATAATGCCCCAACACGACAGTATGGTAAACCGCTTTATTAGACATCACTTCATGATCCAGACTAAAGTTTTAAGTGCTGCACATAATTATTTTTATGCTTCACTGACAAGCAGAATGGAATGAGTTGACACCTATTGTTGCAAAGACCCTGTAAAGCGTGCAGTTATTACGAGTCACCTCGTTGACCTTCCTAAAAGTATGGGTACCTCTTGACTTTATTCTATACTAGACGATTATATTATATGTAGCGTTTGCACACATGTTAAATGGACCAATATGTTTTAGAGCCTTTTAACAAGGCAGTAGATACCAGAGTTGGTCATTTAATTATTTGCATTCACCTGGCCTTAGCAAAACATGCATATATTATAATTAACTTTGCCAGTTATGTTTTAAAAGAAGCATCACAAGATTATGTTCACGTTCAACATTCTTTTACAGCACAGACATCATGGGATGGGCGTTAGGATGTATGGTTGGGTGTACAAAGCACAGGACTTTAGGTTTGATCAGGTTTAGACTACTACATTTGGTTAAGTGTACAAGAAGATTGTGGTTTTGGCTGAATATTATAAATTATAAATAATATAAAATTCAATTCACTCCTTCTCATGCACTTTAACTTAGTGTTGACTTCAATATTGACCCAAGATCTTTCACTAAACTTAATCAAGTGCATTCAGTAAGCAGTAAATATAACCATAAAAATGTTAAAATATGCACAAGTTGCAAGGAGCAGTTACTTTTTGAAAAACAATTAAAATACTATTAACAGTGAGGGTTTTACAGATTTATTTTACATATAAATTCCTTAATCCTTGATTAAAAAAACACAATCCAGGGGGCATATAAATCACACATAATGTATTTGCTAATGCAAAGTAGTTGTATATGTTGTAGTTCTTAGGAGAGTGTAGCATTAAAACTGAGAAAATGTTAGCAATCAATGTCTGCTCTTTACTTAGCAGTATATTAAAGGAAGTAGGATTTATTTTTATTAAACAAATATGACTTCAATCTCATGAATCTTGGGACACATTACATGGAGATTTTCACACAAACAACTACAACTACAAAATGTACTGTGGGAATGAACTGGTATTATTTTATAGTGCTTTGCATCTTTCATATATGAATACACCAGAGAAATTCATTGGATCTTGTATGGAATCACTTAAACTCTCGACGGCATTTAGAGACTGATTATAGTCACATGGGAGCAGTGATGTCTATAGCAGTCCATTTAGCTCCATTACTCACTCTCTTTAGTTTTAGTATTTGGGCTCATTTGGCAAGGGTACTGATTTATGCAAACACCCAAGCCCTGCTGATCTTTTCACATGAACCCCCTACTGAATATGAGTCCCCACTGAACCACAAAATATTTTTCTGTAAATAAATATTGGGACATAAATAATATTTGTAGAGCTGGGCAGCAAGCTGTTCAAGTGAGCCGCTCCTACACTGGAGCATCAAGTCCCTCGACAGACAGTCTTATTCCACCAAGGGAGATCTCATAGACGAAAATTGTGAAATTATTGTCCACACTTTTACAGATCGAATACCAGAACGTTCCCCTCTGACAATGATCTCCCTGGCCTCTAAAATGTGCCCCACCGTCTGCCGGCTTGGGGTAAATTACCGCCTGACAGGGCCACTCTTTGTTGTATTAGAGTCTGGAGTGCAAGGGCCCACTCTGTCAACCTGTCACAGCAGGAGATTCTTGTCGCTGACACTCAATACTTTGTCAAAATGCTCAGATAGTACACCCAAATAAGCAGCCTGCTTCCACTGGGAAGTTCTGAGCTCGTAAGGGGGGATCAAAGCAAAGGCTGAGGATCGCTGACACATTTCACTTTTCCCTGACATCTTCTTTGACTCAACAATTCAAACAATAAAAACAATGGTGTGAAAACTGAGATGAACCCCTCATATGGGAGGAAGAAAGGGAGAGGAGAGAGAGAGAAAAAAAGGAAAATCGGAAGGAATTTCCATCAATATAACAAGGGCTTGGAAGGTAAATATAAACCACTTGTTATAACAGGAACTTGAAATTTATAGCTTGTAGTATTTTGTCCTTAGCCCCTTGCTTGGTTTCAAAATAGTGCCGCCATAATTATCTACAGATGGAAATGGATGCAGCTGGTCTGTCAAAGTCTGAGGCTTTCTGTTGGAGTGGGAGATCATCCAGTCGATGAACTTCTTTTCTCTTGCTAATAAGTGAGTCGCCCTCAGATTTTATCTGGCTGTTACAAGATACTCACAGTGAGACTTTACCGATCAGCTTCTGACTCAGACTGCTTTAATATTTTCTCCTCTGAGATGTAAAGATCTGAAATATGATAAATTGACCTGATAAGGTTTTTTTCTGCAATTTGTGATTTCATAAAACATTACAAAACTGATGATTTCCATACTTGTCAGACACAAAAGGTTGCATGAAGGGTAACAGTTTTCAATAGCATGGACTTTTTTACAGTGCTATTCTTGTGTCTGTATCTGGTGTATGAAGTGTTTATTTGGTCCCTTCTTTAATCACAAAATATTGTAACACCAATACAAGTCCAAATTCACTCCTCACATATTTCTGACTTACAGCTGGCACATGTGGCAACAAAATGTTGTGTGGGTTTTGTAACAAAAATGAATCACTTAAAAAGTCAACATATAGGTGATTATCTTAGCTTAGTATTAAAACTAGAAGCTAGGGAAATTCTCTTCAAATTTAAAAATGACTTCCTGGAGTCTTGTTGTCACCTTGAGATTTACAGGCATCAAGCAAAGACTCCAGGAAGTCACTGTAGCTGTTGTTTGCCAAGAAATAATTCAACATCTAGTAAAACCAAATGCCATTTTTATTTTTCTGTTGGTGCTATCTGCTACCTGTAAAAGCTACCTGTTTTACTTTACTAAGCTAATCACCTCCTGGCCACAGCTTCAAACTAAACACATATAAATGAGAGTGGTATTGATCTTCTCATCTTACTCTTGGCAAGAAAGTGAATAAGCGTGTTTATCAGAATATCAAAGTATTCCTTCGAGGTTACAGCTCTCAGCAGTGAAGATCAAAAACAAATTTTTACCATGGGCTCACTTTACTTTGTCTTTGTATAACTATATTGTAAAATTGTGTAACACTGGTTCCATTATTTCTTTCATATCCGCAGTTGTACCTAATAGTACAAAGGTTGTGGATGAAGAGAAGAAGTTCCGTGACTGTGCTGACCTCTACCAGGCTGGCGTCCAAAAAAACGGAGTCTACACCATCCAGATCAACCCTCAGGAGACCAAAAAGGTGCAAAGCCACAATATCTTACAGCCAGCACTCGACTATAATGTGAAAATATCTGCCTTTTCATCACGTCTAGGCTGCTTTCATAGTGGATTTACAGGTTTTCACTTGTTTGTGTGAGACTCAACTCTCTCCGACTGAGCTGAAAAGACCCTGAGCCACCACTGGACTGATGAGTGTGAATAATGGGCGCTAGCTGCTGCAGGAATATTGAGAGCTGAAAATACCCTTGGCAGCTTTGTGAGTGCAGGGGGGTATGGTATGAAACAGGGACGTGATATAGGACACTGAGCTGATCGCCAATTGTGTGTGTGTGTGTGTGTGTGTTTTTAACCTCTACAGTATACTTATATACTTTTGATTAATAGGAGTGATGATTTTAAAAGTTAGCAGGTTTTTGTGTGTTGATTTCTGTCTCTCAAACTCAAGTTTGGTGCTGCTGTACTCTACTTATGAAACAGTCTCAAATAATACCTGCCTCTGACCTTTTTAAACAACAGCAAGAAGACTGGCTATATTGGCTATCAATGAAGGACATAAGTTAAGAAACAAACACCAAGGATATACAGTAGCCCATACAGTATACTGATTATATTAGCTAACATGAATTTTAATTTCAAATCAACTTTAAAGATGTGTGTGCGAGTGTGTGTGCTTTTTATGCATGTATACCATGAATGATGAGCTAGTATTGGGGGAAATGATTCTGTCAAGGGTACTTCCTTAATTATACCCAGGCTGTGTTCATGTGTGTTCAGCTGTGTGGGCTGGCTGAGGTGAGAGACCTTCTCCACTCCACCCTGGGGTCTCCTCCTCAAAACAAAGAGCAACACTGCAGATAGAGCACCAGCCTTGCATTATCAGCTTACACACACTGAGGTTCAAGGTTAAGGGCCACATTACACCCAGGACCTCCACTTTGATCCTGTAGAAATGAGGCTGTCTGATGAGGAACATCTCCAGGGAGTTGGTGAGGGATAAGGAGATGCTGATTAAGTTTGAGGAGGACACAGATATGTCGCATTCCCAAAGATGATTCATCATGAAAGCTGGGAAAAGGAGTGTCTGACACAAAATATTTGTCCAAATGACCCTTCATTGTTTGGTAATGCCGCTGAGAGTCACGTTGAATGTTGGAATCATTAGCTTGCTAGTTATCATCATGACATCACATCTTTGAATCCTAAAAAATGTACAAAGACCAATGGGTGTTCCATTACCTTAATGGTGTGTTTTCCACCCTCCTTTGCTCTCTTTTCAACTGTGTAGGTGTATTGCAACATGGAAACAGCCGGTGGTGGATGGACAGTCATCCAGCGCAGAGAAGACGGCAGTGTGGACTTCCAGAGAACATGGAAGGAGTACAAGTTGGTGAGACAAGACGAATGAGTGTACACAGACACTTGTCCGGCATGTAGACACTCATCCATATCCATTAAAGGCAAGATGATAATGGTGGTCCTTTAAAGTACAGACAGTGAGTCAACACAAAAACCCAAAGGGAGAGAATACATATACTCATCCATATCCATTAGGCATAAATTACGAAACTGTGCGATCAACAGAACATACTGTTACAAAAACACACTTCCGCAAGGGGATTTTGACAAATAGAGTGTGCTTTTTGGCCCCAATTATACATGCTGAAAACTAAGAGGCAGGATCCACTCATCCAAGACCATTTGGAAGACTTAAGCCAGATATCATTCATCGTGAGCAACAGCTCCTCTGCCGTTTGTGTATTAGCAATATTGTCTAGGGTGTCTGAGACTTGCTCCACTTATCCGCTGAGGCTTCAATGACATGCTGTTATTCTTCCTCTTTTCCAACAGGAAATTATTATACCTAAATGTAAAAACAACATATTTGTTTAGTCTCTATAGCGCTCTGCCAGGTGTTTCATCTGTTTGTCATCAAGGAGAAATGTATGCATATTTGCATTGGGAGTGTTAACATATTCAACCTAAGCTGTGTTTAGACGGGAAATTGGATTTATTATTGCTGGCAGTTGCATTGCTTGTGTTTGCTGTGTAAGTCACCTGTGTATACCTTCCACTAGCTGTAAGTTTATTGTCAAATGGACTATGTTCATTCTATCCACTGTAATCTGCTTTATGTTTCCAGTTTAATTATTTCCCGTCTCCACTGCTCTTGGTATACAATTTACCAGTCAATGTGAATGGGTTTCCAAGACATATAAAGCAGACAACTCCCAAGTTAGATCAAATAAAACCACTTAACTGGAAGAGAACACTGGTTTGAATGGTAAAAAAGAGTCATAATAAAAGAAAAAGGGAGCAAAAAAGACAAAAGAGAAAAATATAAAAAGAAATATATATAATATATAAAACATATAGGTCATGTTCAGGCCTTAAATGTAAGCACCCATGAGACAGAAATGGACACCCTCCAACTACGAACAGGTGTTATAGAGAGTGCATTGCAGTACAGGAGGGCACACTCATGGATCTTGGCTGACATTTACAGTGCTGATCTAACAGCTTAGCATCCATGTTCTTCTCCTTGAAAAGACTGTAGGTGATCATTTGTGTTTTATTGTCTTATTAATTTTCTCATTCTTGGTCTCCAAAGGCTTGTGCTCACAGATTTAATGCACTTGGTGGATTTGTAAATCTTTCAGTCAAAACTGAGATGCTCTTTCTTTGTGGGACCATGGAGAGAATTTTGGCAACAGGGATATAGTGCACATATTAAAATGTGATCTTAAGACCATCTGATGTTTGTAATCACATTACCAGGAGACTGCACATCACAAGGGACAATGCAAGTTGAATCACAATTCACTCTTTCATCTTATCAGCATGTGAAAATGGTGCTTGTAGAGCAACCACTGCTCTAAGTATCCCACAAGTATTTAAGCAGTTGCCAGGGGCTAAGTGAAAAGCTCAGCTAAATAAAGTGTGTAACATTTAGGAGGATCTATTGGCAGAAACTGAATATACTATTCATATCTAGATGTTTACATTGGTGTATAATCACCCAAAAAATAAGAATGATCTTGAGCCGTTTTCATCTACAGAAAGAGCGAGCCTTTTCTACAAATTCTACCGTATTGAGCCACCATGTTTCTACAGAACCCCTGAATGAACAAACCAAACACTGACTCTACATATTGTAGGGACTTGTTTCCCAGCCACTGTAGTTTCTCCTTCACGTTTGGATGAGTCAAGGGGTTTAAACTGGTTGCAATCTTTAACTAGTAAGTTGCAAGGAACCAGTAAGCAATTGTAACACATGAACATCACGGGTTGCAATTGAGAGTGTGTTGAAATACTTAAGTAATGGGAAAAAATTGAAATAGTTATCTAATGTATTGAATACTGCTTATATAGTTTACTGAAATGAATGGATAACAGTTGAAATAGTAAACTAAAAGTAACGGATAAATTGTTAAATGAAATGGATGAATGGTTGAAACGTCTAGCTTCTACCACTCCAAGCAGTAGGAATTCAGATTGGACAGAACAACCTAAACATTGATAATGTAACTGTATCTGTATTTCTTTAGAATGATTATTGTTGAATAATATTCAATTCATCTATTCATAAGAACATGCATACATGACACAACAAAAAGGTTAGGAACCACTGTTTTCTCACACTGTAATTCTAGTTGATATTTCTAATGTTCAACAGTTCCTGAGATTAACAGTGCTCAACATTTACAATTACTTCTTTCCCCAGACAAAGTGAATTTAGCAAGTGTAACTGAAATGCAAACCGAGCACTCAGTCCAACAATATGACTAATCATCTCCTCATCTTTTCTGAGTTGATTGATGTAGATCAGGTTTGCGTGTGAAGGATCACAAAGCACCGGAACTATACAAAGGAAAACTGTCAACAGAGCTTGACTCCAGCCAGGGTTCTTGAGATAAACCACAGTCACAGTAGGAGGCATTGGATCAAGCTGAAAGCCAGTCAGAAGGGAGCATCTCATCAGGAGTGAGATCAAATGTAGAGAAAGGGAAAGAAAAGAGAGAAAAAGTGGTAATGGACCCCAGTCACTTTCTCTTCCACCCACTCGGCAGGACATGCCTAAGGCCAGAGGAATGCCCCATATTTACTTTCCCTCCTTCCCATTTCTCATCACCACACTCAGCGCAAACACAGACTTCTCCCTGAGTTTGCCCCCCCCTCGCTTTCCCAATCTTTAATGGATCAGTCCAGACGATCCTGTCAGAGCTGTAATGTCATCCTGCTTTGTGATATTCCCCTTTGCAATCCACTGCTCTTGCTGCTGTCAGAAGCACTTTGCCTGTGACCGGGAGCCACTCTGATCAAATACAAGCTTTTACAGTTGTTTGAAGGAGTGTCCGTGCATGCAGTATATATTTTGGGAAAGAAGTCTTTAAGTAATAATGAGTTTAACATGTGTGACTAGAGTGGAAGACAGGAATGGAAAAAGGTGTGCACCTTTTTCAGCTGGTACCAATTTAGGAACTTTTATAGATAGGTAAGTCTACCCACATGTAGGATCAAGCCAAAAGAATGCTTAAAACCAGCATAAAATATGTTAATATACAATGTGAGTACTGTCTGTGGTTTTTACTGAAGTCTAGAGAAATTATTAAGAACGCAAGGATGCTATGAATAAAAAAAAAAAGTATGTTTTGCAGTACAGAAACATATCTGGATCAGCAACCACATTTCTTATGCGGAACTGTTCTGATCTAATTTCTGATTGACAAAAAATAAATCAATAAATAAATTTAAAAATTCCTTCCCATTCATTCCACAATCCCCTAGTGTTGAGATCTTATCATTCTAAGAAAAAATAGGAGATAGCAACAAATAATAATAAAGCCTATGATTTTCAAAAAAGATTTTCAGTGTTGTTTCTACACCAATTATTGTGTTTCTCTTCCTTCATTGCAGGGCTTTGGGAGCGTGTCTGCAGAGCACTGGTTAGGGAATGAATATGTTTACCAGTTGACCAGCCTGAGGCAGTATGCCCTCCGTGTAGAACTGACGGACTGGGACGGACACCAAGCCTTCTCATTATATGACCGCTTCCAAATCGGCAGTGAGAAACAAAACTACAGGTAAAACTGTTCATATTGCTACCAGTAGACAAAGAAGGGGATAATTGTTTTTTTCAGGCCAAGGAACACATACAGCTTTTCATATTGGCTGGTAAACATCCTCAGGACTGGATCTGTTTTTGCAGAATTCAGTGGCGGTTTGAGCTGCAGTCACATATTTGCACCACATGTTAAAGTGATACAGACTTCAGGCTGACATATGAATAAATGAATTAATCTGCAAATAACTGAACCACTTTAGCCACACTATAAGCATGGCAGTTGCTGGGTTCACTATTTGGGTTCATTGTACAGTTTTGAATGTAATATGAAATATATATAAAACATGTAATTTAAGCAGCAGTTCACTAAATGATAGAAAAGGGGTCCCTTGAGGAAAAACCACTGCCTTAAAGATCCCCTCCCTACATGAATTAAGACGTATATACAAATAGTCTGCTTGGAACAATAATGTACGTCTGATTTTTATTTTTTTTTTCTGCAAAAACATTTTAATTTCCACATTAAAAGCTAAAAAGAGATAAACTTCTTCTAACTCATGAAAAAATTTCAGAGTCTATGACAAGTTTAGGTAATTTCTAAAGATTTCCTACTGTAAAGTCCATTCTCAGTGTACATGCACTAGTGGCTTCAAACTTCTACATCACACTTGTAAATGCTGCAAATTGGACCTTTGGTTAATGATCAACCACCTCCCAAACTAATGACATTCCCATTAGCCTCAGCTGTAATTTGTGTTTATTGCTAATTAAAATATGTTAGCATGCTAGTACATTAAACATCCACATTATTCCTGCTTAACAACAATGTGAACACATTGCATGACTGTTTTGTTGTGTTTTGCTCAAAGCACTATAGGTGCAGTCTGTGTAGTGAAAGCACCAAAAGATTCAGTACTCTATGTCTATACAGGATGCATTCAGACACAATATTAAGCATAGGTCACGTTTTGGCAGCCCAAACAAACACTGTAGTTAATTGAGTATAACAGAGACACTAGACAAAGGTGATAGACTCCTTTAGACACACCTTTAGTTTTTTTCTCGCCTTGATCAATGCATATCAAAATATTGTGAAGCTGTGTCTTCAGCTTCAGCTATTCCACTAATGGAAGGAAGGAAGGAGGAGAGCAATCGCATAAGTGAATAATACTTCAATCGAAAGACAAAATGTTCAAAAGTGTCAAGATTATAGCATGGCCAGTAACTGTAAGCTCTCCAGACACTTCAATCATGTCGATCCTGTTATGTAAGTCTGTGGCGAGGTTTTTCTCCTTGCAAATTCCTTCCAAACCAAATGTGCCGTTTGTCATCGTCTCCTCATTACAAATCTTCCTTTGATTGACGCTTTGTCTTTGTGTGTTGCGGGGGCGAAGGTTTCTGTTTTCTTTTGAGGGGGTTAATGATAACAGGCCTCAAACTATGGCAGATGCTTGGCCCTCTCAGATGTGGAAAACTACTGCAAATTCCACTGAGTTCCAAGCAATTGCTGGCTTCAGAGGAGAAGGTCTGACATCCCCAATTCTGCAGTTTTCACTGGATGGCTGGGTCTCTCTGATAAGAGGTCCCTTTAGTTGCGAAATGTCTCGTGTTTAGCTTTAAATGACGAAATAAGGAACAAGATTATGTTGCTTGAAAGCCTTTACCTCAACCCTTCCATTCCTTGCACCCAAGCTTCAAAAGTTTCAAGTGTTCCCCTACAGCGGGGGGCTGTTAGGCTTGTTGCCATACCTAATCTTCACAATTGTCTTGCGATGACAGGGGTTTCACTTTCCGATGTTTCCGACTTGAGGAGCTTGTACCTGGAGTGAGCTCTGTGGTTTTCTCTGAGGACTGGAAAAATGGATTTCAATCAACTGGAAGAGATCAAGTTGTTTTTTGTTATGACTTTATAACGAAGTTGAGGTTTTGTGTGACTGGGAGGTGAGGGCTCAGTGAATCAACACCTCTAGTTACCTTTAGTCTCTATTTCTAGCTCTTGTTTGAATGCACAGGCACTAACTTCAGCCTTGTCAACATGGCACACAGATATGTAAAGTGCAAGTCCATATATATTTGTAGGGCTCAATATGTACTTGTATACGTACTGTATCTAAGAAAAAGGTGTTTATCAAAATGTAAAGCAAATTTTGCTTCGAACAATCCAACACCATTCAACTAACACATAGTTATACACACATTTATATTTACTTTTACATCGTCCTTTCCTGTTTTTTACACATAATTTAACACCTCAAACTTGATCTTTTGTTCTTTTCATATAGGTAAACAATAATTGTTTTTGTCCCGCTGAGGCAAGCAAAGCACATCCCCAGCCATTCTAGCCTTTTTTGATGCAGGCTCATACTGTTTAGGAGTCCAATCGACACGCTGATCTCTATAAATAGATTTGTTCTTGAAAAATAGTTGTGGTATGATAATCACACATTGCTCCTCTGAAACACAAGCCAAAACAAACCAGATGGCCTGGCCCCAAACAAGCCGACGCTGCCACGTTCTCTAGTCTTTCTGCTTTGGCACCTCACTGCATTTAAATGTCAAACAATCTGCGACAAGTTCTCTCAATTGCATTTATTGCTCTGAAACATAAGAGATAGCTGTAAGTGATATGGCCTGTCTTTTAGTTGGTTTTGGATTATTTTCTGTCATCCGTAGTGGTTTACTGGAATAAAGTCTGCGTCAGTGTGAGTCAGACAAACATTTACAAAGACCTCATATGGTACAGTCAATCTTCCTCTGCCGCTCTCTTTCTGTTTCAAACACACGCTGTAAGAACAAAAGCACATAAACAAGGCCATGAACTACAAGCACCACTTCAAAACCAGGTATAATAATTGAATAGCACAAATCCAACAATGCACACGACTCACCATTTATCATAAATAATATTGACTACCAGCCAGGAAATGTTTGTCCTGCTGCCAGCTTCTTGGTTTCATACATACAGTATACTGTATATACATAAGTGGAACGGAAATTACTCAAGTTGCAGAGAGGGAGGGAGGTGTGCAATTATTCCTTTGTGAAATATAGGGTCCTAATCCTTTAGAAATGAAATCATGTCATATTTATGCCCAGTGTTCTAAAAGTTTGGACCTGTCATTCATCTTTATTCATTTATTTATTTATTTAGCCATTTTATTCTTGTTGGCTTTGTCCAACATAGTACAACTGTTATATCAGTAAATTATTAACAGTCAGATTTTTCTCATGTCACCTCCGGGGCTCCGTAATAATACACAATCATTTGAATAATATTTTCAGAATAAGGTATAATTTCAGTACTTGGGTTCAGTTGTAGGAATGAAAACCCTTTGAGATTATTAGGATTTGCATAGCCATGTTATTGTTGTTGTTTACTGGATGTGCAGACATTATTATCAGTGAAGGAAAATAAGTTGATTAATTGATTGGTCAAAGAACAGAAAATTGGAACATTGAAACAAGTTTCTTGTTTTGATAATTGATAAATTATGTTTGCTGTTTTTTGAGGTTCCAGCTTCTCAAGTCTGAATGTTTTGCTGGTTTCCTTCTAAGGTAAACTGGATATCTTTAGGTTTCTGATGGAAGACAAACCAAGAAATTTGAATATTTCAACATAGGCTTTGTAGAATTGTGATAGGGATTTTCCACTGTTCTGTAACATTCAATTGGCAGAACAAATAATTGATTAATAGAGAAATAAAATAAAGTGTAGATTAATGGACAATGAAAATACATAACAGTAATAGCTTAACTATAAACTTTTCCAAAACTTATTTATACACCTCGGGCTCCAAGAACTTACAGGGGGGAAAAACTCTTAGAAGTCAAGCTTTAGAGCAGGGGCAGATCAAAACAGCTACATCAATGCAATAGCAGCCAAATAAAAAAGAAGAAATCAAATCACTGGTTACATCTGCACAGTGTAAGCTGACATCAGCAATGTTGTTTTAATGTTGAACGAACAAATCTTATGGACAACACTGTAAGGGGTAAATTTAGGTTGACCAGAGCAACAAAGTTCCCACTGAACCACAACCTCATAAGATTGTGAAATGAGCTCTTTTTTTTCTTCATTGTGAGTCGGGTCACCATAATTGCAGAGGTTACCGTCTTCATAAACAACAGAAAAAAATCCCCTATCATCATAGCTAATTTGGTTGCTGTGATACAGCATGGGTTGCAGAAAGGAAAATAATAAAAATATAATTTGATGACCTGCAAATATTGTTGTAACGATAGCCATCAGATCAACACATCCAGTTAATCACCCTCATTTATCAAAGTTTCTTTGCTGAAAAAATGGGCTTGGTGCTACATATCAATATGAGCAGAAAGTCAACCTGCATGACACAGAAAGCAAAATAGCACAGACATGAAAAAGCGAGAGGCTAGTTAGAGAAAATACAGATGGAATCAAAAAAGTAAAAAAGTGCTGAGTCAGAGGGAAGATATAGTACAGAATGAAGAAAATTGCACGTTATACAAAATTACATTACGTAACAAGAAAAGCCACAAACTGAAATAAACAATAGACAGTGCTGGCTTAGATAGACAGTTTTATGCAGATTCTTGAGAATGGGCTTGAAGTTACACAGGTGTTTTGTTTTATTGGGGTCTTTGTACATTTTTCCATGATACAATTTCACAAGTCTTTGTAAATAAATAAATACCAATGAGACATAATAAGTCTCTCAGCCATAGACTAACTGAACGTGTCTTATACAATGTAGTGGTAAGAGTTAAGGAAACACAGCTTCTTGCAGTGCATTCAGGAAGAGGTTTAATTTCTCTATGGCCAATGGAACAGAATAATCTAGTAAAATATAAGTAAAATATAGTATCGTCTGCATAAAGACGTATATGACAATCACAGACAAAAAAGATAATCATTGTTATAAAAAGACAGAAAGTTAAAAATGACCAGATTACTCAAAATAGGAAGTGTATGTTAACTTACTGAATGTTGGCAAGTTTTTTTTAAACATTTGAAAATCATGAAAAATTAGCAACAGAATG